TGTGAGATCGACTTCACCACAGAATCTTCATCGTTCCCCTTGTACCTTGAGATATCAATCTTCAAGGTTTTAAGTCGACGCAGGTGCGTCGGTCCGCCCATAGGCTGATGAGAGCCTTGCTGCTGTAGTAAGGCTATCTTCGACGGCAAGTTTTCCTTGCAGGAACTTGTTGATAGCAGCATGTTACTGGTCTCTGCTTAGAGACTCCAATATGCCACTGATGGCGGGTTCGCCCATGAGCACACTCATGCGGTCGACTATCGTCCATTCCTAGTCACTCAGATGGGAGTAGCCTTCACGCGTGACGAGAAAGCTGTCTTCTTCTACGTCCAACATGTTCATGTTGGACAGACACTAAGTAGTCGTTGGACGGACTACGAAGTGCTACCAGGTGTAACGGGGCATTGGAGCAACACACTGGACAACCAGTGTGGAGCTACTCTAACCGGCAGCAGTGTGAGTGGCCCCTCGATATCTCTGTGAACTACGCAGAGGAAAGGAGCGCAGCTAGGGACCGACAAGTTGTTTATAAAAGTACAACCGTATCAAATATGATTAAGTCCTGTTGATCAACCTGTGTTTTGATCCTAACTTGGTTATATTTATCTACAAAAGTGTATGCGAAAGTCTTGTTCACCACTCATTGCGCGCGTCCGTCGTTGATTGGACCGCTAGAGCTGGCTCATTTGATGACCCATATCAGCCAATCGGTGAGTGTTTTTGGAAATTACCCCTCAATTGGGGACATGTTAAGAAGACCCGTCGATCTACGTTAGGTGTGTTGATTTTGCTTGGACGTGCAGTTGTGGTTTACAAAAGCAAACGCCAAACTTCGGTGGCTAGTATCAGGCGTTTATTAAATGTGACAGGCTCAATTCGTTACAGCTGTAGTCCATAAGTTATGGTGCACCATTGCGGACGCTATTCACTCAGTGAAGCGAGATCTAAGCGCAACATAGCCTGGTTATTTGTCAATAGAGATATAGTTTATCACTGATCGTCGCAGCCAATCACGACTGCCTTGAGTTGCACGATCCTCTACGCTCCACCTCTTCCCATCGCCTCTTCCCATGACGCTCGGCCATCGACGCGGCGCGTCCCTCGTGACCCATGCGCGTCGACTGAGCAGTCTCCGAGACCAGGCGCTGCGCGTCATGGGCGACCAGATCCGCGCAAGCCTCGAGACGAGCGCCACCTTGTGGCTCAATGCGTCGGCTGTCGTGCGTGCGCGTCCTCGCAGTCTCTCGCTGGTGCCCTCCCTCTCCCTTGTCTAACTCTCGTGTTGCGTGCTCTTGTGGATGTCTGTGGCCAATCAGAACAAACCCACGGTCTCGATCCTCGACCCAGCTCCAGGCTACGCGCTCGCGGTGGACGAGAGGCCCGACGGGCAGCAGCAGCTCAGTCTGGACTTTGACACGTGAGTGGAGGCGACGGTGTCCAGAGCCTCTCACTATAGAGACACAAGTCTACTTGCTACTGCTATATTGATACTACTGCTGACCTATTGATGCTACTGCAGACCTGTGCGTGGTGCCAATGTGCGGCTTGCGTACCTGGGGACGGACCCGAGGAGTCTGGCAGACCCCTTTACGCTCGTGGAGCAAGATATGGTGGGCGTCACGGACAGTATCAAGCGCATTCTTGGCTCGGATCACCCCGTGTTGGCTGCGGTTGCCCGCTACTTTTTTGAGCACGACGGGGGCAAGAAGGTGCGCCCGACCATGGTGCTGCTGATGGCACGAGCTGCCGAGGCCCATCGTCGAGCTGTTGGCACACCTCTACCAGAGACGCAGTCGGAGGAATACACGCTTGCAGCTCAGCAACGACTCGCTGAGATCACGTGCGCTGCAGCAGCTGGAGGATGCTTGATGTTGGACGATATTGAGCCTTGGCTGACGCTGTTTCTAATGTATTCGATTGCGTAGTGAAATGATCCACACGTCTAGTCTGATGCACGACGACGTTATTGACGAAGCTGACACACGTCGTGGTCGTCCATCTGTCAACAAGGTGTTTGGCGGTAAGATGGCCGTATTGGCTGGCGACTTTCTGCTCGCACGTTCGTCAGTACTGTTGGCTCGTTTGCGCAATTTGGAAGCCGTTGAACTGATGTCCACATCGATTGAGCATCTGGTGAAGGGCGAGATCATGCAGATGAAGAATGCCGACGCTCGCGATGACATTACTCCGTTTGAGTACTACTTGCGCAAGAACTACTACAAGACAGGGTCGCTCATGGCCAACAGCTGCAAGGCCGCACTCGTGCTCGGTAAGCACGACCAGCCCATCTGCAATCTGGGTTTTGCATTTGGTCGCCACATTGGTCTTGCCTTTCAGGTAAAGCGAAGTTGTAGCGTCACCATACGAACAGCAGTAATGTGTTGACGCGGGAGTGTTCGTCATGCATGTCGCATCTGATGGTCGACGCATGAGCTAACGCAGTGGTTGTTTCGTCATCTGCAAAGTTAATCGACGATGTGTTGGACTACGAAGGCGTTAACACGGGCAAGCCGTTGCTGGCTGATCTTAAATCTGGCCTGTCAACGGCTCCACTGCTGCTAGCACAGGAGGAGTATCCAGTTCTCCGTGAGCTATCGAAGCGAAAATTTGCGAAGGAGGGCGACATCGAGATGGTACTGTGAAGCTGTCGGTGGACAATGCGCCAAGTTACTGACGCAATTTATATTGAGCAGGCGAGCGAGCTGGTGACGAAGAGTACAGGCATCGTACGATCTAAAGCTCTGGCCATCGGCCAAGCGGAGTTAGCAGCCCAAGCAGCCATGCAATTTGCTCCTTCATCCGAGCGGGATGCCATGGTACGACTGGCGCAGCTGGTCGTAGATCGATCTAAATAGATGCGTCTGTATACAGGGTGTCATTAATATGGCTATACTAGGGTGAAAGCAAATGGATAAAACGTTGCCGGATCCCACGACTTCTGCTGGACGATGACGACCCCGACCTAAACCGTTACGTCGTCATGGTCTGCCGTTGTTCGTTGCTCACACCTTTTTGCAGAAAAATGTGCTTGTTGTATGTGCCAGTTGGACTGAAACGCAACGGGAGGAAGCACATCAGGAACCTCGTCTCAGAAGAAAATGTGATGCTTCTCATAGACTTCGTGGCCATTTTCCCATCCGTAAGACGTTAAGCAAGCAATTATGGGCATTCAACTGCGAAAGCTGATGCGCTCTCGCGTGATCGTTGTGTTTGGCGCTACCAGTCGCATTGGTCGTTCCGTGTTAGAAGTTCTGGCTGCTCAAGATCAGGTTTCTGTCGCGCTTGTGGCCGCAGTCGAAAGCGCCAAAGATACACGAGTGCAGCGACTGAAGTCCGCGACAAACAGTTATATCGTGCAGTGCAATTTTGCTCAAGGTGGTGAGGACTCACTTCGCCGTGCTGTGCGTAATGCGGATGCCGTACTCCTCGTTCCCGCACTTTCCGAAAGTGGAGTGCGTTTTTCGCGGCGTGTCATCGATGCTGCTGCAGCTGAGCAGGTCCCACGCCTCGTCGTGATCAGTAGTATCTTGGCATCGCCCGAGCTGCTAGGTCGCTGCCGTCAAGAACACGCGAAGGAACGACCAGCAACTGAAGCTATAGGCTCGACATCTACCGATGTTGCCGCTCTGGAAGGTTACGAGGCGGTGGAAGTTCATGCGAGAAACCAGTTACCTGAACATGGTCGTTGTGTGTCGCTGCGGATCCCTCTTCTCATGGAAACGCTGCTTTACTGTCGTGATGAACTACTCTTCGCAAATCGATTTGTCGGGTGCTATGAGCCGGACACGCACGTGCCCTGCATTTCGGTTCGTGATGTCGGAGTTGCAGCAGCCGAGGTGCTGGCGAATCCGAGACGGAAGTACGAGGCGGTGTATCGCTTGACTGGAGGGATCAATGTGAGCTGCAGCCCCAATGAATTAGCTCACACCCTGAAGGGCCACCTCGGACGAGACATAAAGTACCGCAAGTTGAGCGACGCCGATTTCCTTCGTGTCATGGAGGAGAAAGACGCCCCCGTCCAAGTGGCTCAAGGCACGGTCGGACTTCGGATATTCCTCGAAGAACGAGAGAGCCACGAGGAAGATGTGAGCACCAGCCAGGAAAAGTCATCGAGTAATACCCGAGAGGAGGGACCTCGCTCGCTGCATTTGCCTGACGCCTTCCGCAGCACGAGCAACTTTCGGCAGCTTACCAAGCGAGATCACACAACCCCTCGACAATGGCTGCAGCAGCATGCGACTTCGTTATTCGCGCGCACCCCGCAGAACCAAGTGCAGTTGTTCGTTGTGGGCTCCGGTGAGGCCCTGTTCCTCGAGGTGAGCAAGTTTGTGGCGAGTCAGATTACTGCTCCGTCGTCGCTTCCGCCGCGTGATGTGGGTGAGAGTGCTGTCCCAACCGTCCTTTCTGGTCGTTCCAACAGTGCAGGCGATTATAGTGGCCTTGCGCAGGCCAAAGTCACGCTGTGTACTGTCAAGTCGGCCCCAGGGAGTGTCGAACGAAGCAAGTCGTTTGGCATACCGTCACCACCGGCAGTATATCAGCTCGAAGGTGCTCCACCGTATCCCATGGACGATTTGCTTAAGCAACTCTCATCTTTGGATGTCGTGCTGCTCATCCCTCCGCTCAGACTTGGTGGTAGGGCTTGCCTGGACGTGGTGCGCGCCGTGGTTCATGCAGCTGCGCGTGCAAACGCTTGGGGTGTGGTGCTGGTGAGCTCGATCTTTGTGGGTTCGCCCACTCTACAGCAAAGCGTGATACTTGAGCAACTCGAAGAAATTGAGGGTTGCGTGAAGTCTTCAGGCGTCTCGTACACGATCTTGCGTCTTCCGCTGTTCATGGAGTATTTCTTGGCGCTGTCGTGTTGCGACGAGGTGGGAAGCCTGGACGAAGAAAAGCGCGAGCTGCCTTTTCGTGATGAAGCTAAATTCGAATCCGAGGTGGAGGCCCGAACGCAGGATGAAGTGGAGGCAGGAGAAATTAAGGCGATGGTGTCGTCCCCTCCGTCGCACATCATGTGGCCGCTATTGGAGCCATCGCTGGCGTCTGCGCGAATTTATCTCATGTCTCTAGAGGACGCTGCCAAGGCTCTTGTGGCTGCTGCTTTCACGTTTCCATTGCATCGTGGAAAGACGAAGGAGCTCTACACCTCAAGCGTAACGATGACGGACGTCCAGCGAATTCTGCAGCGTCACGCGAGTAAGGCCCGTCCCGTGCGTTTGAGTCGCGTGGATGCGTTGAAAGAGAGACAAGGCCGCGAATTCTGGCGTGTTGCATACTGGCCTCGAGCGCATACACAGCAGTTCCTTGAGTGTGCGGTGGAGTTTGCAAGAGATGTGCGTACAGCTGCCGATAGCGCAGCTATTGTCGGAGGCGACGTTGACACGAGTGCGATGGTGCTGCCTGTGTCGCAGAGTTTTGAAGACCTTACGGACATCCGGCCACGCACATTTGATGAATGGGCTGAAGAGAATTCCAAGCGTTATACGCAGCTGCTTGCGGCTCACTGAAGAGCTCTCACGTACTAGTCATTTGAGGTGCGAATCGATCATCTGTTGCCCATGCAATACATTTGAGTGCGTTGTCACGCGCATGGTAACAACAACTGCGTAGCTGCTGCTCAAGAGATGAACCACTCAGTCAGACACGGTCAGTGTCGACGAGCTTCGATGTGCCTGTTCCCGCAAAAACACGGAAGTTTCTTCGTTCTTGATAGCTTGAACTTGTTGGCGTCCCCACAGGCGTCGCATTATCACCAGCTATACCACTACCAGCAACCTCGCGACTCAACCAACGTCGTAGGCAACTTGTCAATTCATGCTCCGCCTTGCTTGTCCTTGGAAGTGCCGAATAAAGCTCTAGCTCCTTGGCTTTGGCAGGAGGAATACCCTGCCACCTCAGTGTGTACCTAGCCGGGTACTAGATGCGCACCAGTGAAGTCTGCTAGATAGTGCTGGATTAGTCTGTATAAGAGGTAGTTCTAAAATGCTCGACGCATAGGGGAACGTGTGGCAGAGACCGCTGCACTGACAAGTCTCACTTTGCATTCGGGCAGCCACTGAGGAGGCCCGCGCCATGTACACTCAGAAGTTGACATGGCTACAAAAGTGGACGACAAAGGTCGTGGAAATGACCAGCAGCTGATCGAGGGCTCGACGTCCCGCCTCGGTACCGACCTCACTCTTCATCTGCGACACGAACTCGTGTCCATTTCTCCAAGCGAAGCGTTCTTGCCACTGGTGGACAGCAGCGTCAGAACCTCGTCGCCGTCCACCTTTCGCTCCACAAGACGGAAACCCGCGTGCTGGAAAAAGTGGGGCCGGAAGTGGTAGCGCGCGAACTTGGAGGCTCCGTTGTCGCCGGCACTTGCAAAAGAACCGCCCATGATAACGTGGTGCTGGCCGTCAAAGCATGGCTCGCTAAAGTCTTTGTAATACGGATGGACGCGGAAGCCAAGCAGGGCTGCAAACGCGTCCTCACACCACTCCCAGGCGTTACCGAAGACGTCGTGGAAACCCTGCGACGTTGGCGGCAAGGCGTCCACGGGCGAGAACGACAAGTACGACCAGTTCAGGTTCTTGCCCATTGCTGTAGCCATGTTGGCGTGCTCCGGCAGCATCAAAATGTCGTCCGACGTTGTGTCAGCGGAGCGATCCTGGGCATTTCGCAGCTGCTGATGGATTGCTTCAGTCGTGAGGTGGTAGACCACTCGCTCGTCTGTTTGCTGGCTTTGCTTCCATTGGCAAAAGGCCTGTGCCTCGTGCAGATTGACCTGGGCGGGCCAGCTCCACGGCATGGACACCACGTCGAACATTACACGGAGCCGGTAGCCGTGCCTATCTGCAGGTCCGTCTTGCACCCAAAACGCCGGGGCTTTCGTGTCCCGAAAGCTGCGCCACGCCCAGCCCTCTTTGCTCCAGTACGACGGCTTTGTGTAGCCTCCGTCCTGCACAAAGTCGTAGAACTCGCCGTTTGACACGAGGAACTTGGTCGCGCGACACGCAGGCACCTTCACCTCGCGGTAGCCGTACTCATTGTCCCAACCGAACGACGGAAAGTCCCGCGGTTTGCCAAGAAGCACATTTGACGCGGCTACATCCAGGAACTCGTTCTCGGGGTAGTCCACGCCAGCCACCGGATGCCGAGCTGCAGCCGTCATGTCTTTGGTTCGAGGGGATGATACCGACTCGTGGTAGTCGGGCAGTAAAGCTGTGCTTTGAAAAAACTCGACCGGGTGTTCCAACATGAGCATCGACGTCGTCTCTTGGTGGATCCGCTCATGTTCGAGCGCCATCATGAGCGCCCAGAGTGGCTGGTCCTCGGTAATAGGCTCGTGACCGGGCTCGAGGTCTGGATGCGTCTCGATGACGTTCCGGACACGCTCGTAGACTTGACGACGATATGCCAGTACTTCAGCGGCGTGTGGCCACTGCATCTCGTTCTTGCTCATGTCGTCCCAGCGCATTTCGTCCACGCCGACCTCGAAAATGTGCTCAAAGTAGGGATTGATGGGCTCGGGCAGGAGGCCTGCCAGGACCAATTTGTTGACGAAGAAACTCGTGGGATGGCCGTAGTAAAAGATGAGCGGGTGGCGCAGCTGATGCGGCGGCGGCGTCAGGAACGCGCGCTCGCCCTGCAGCGTTGCGAACAGCGCGTCCGTCATGACCCACGTGTTGTCCAAGTAGTCGAGCAGATCGCGGTGCGAGCAAGAGCGGAGGTCTGGCGTTCTGACGGCACTGAGACGGCCGGATACACGGTCCACGCCGGGAAACGTCGGGTCTGTGCGCGGATTGCGCGCAGTCGTGAACCACTCGTCGGGCCGCTCGCCATAGAGAAAGAGGTCGTCGCTGTCGTGAATGTCGTCACGGACACTCGCGGCAGACGAGGCAAAGGCGGACGATTGACTGGATGGTGGCGGTTGGGGACAGTGTCTTGATAGACGATCAGTGAGCGAGGAGAAGGACGGTGAGCCTTGGGTCGTGCAATGCACTTGCAAAGGAGAGAGGAGGTGGAAGGAGGGGCGTCTAGTAAGGGCGGAAGACGACGGGGCGGAGCGAGTCAGACGTAACGGCCGTTTGCTGGCGGTGGGGAAGCGGCGAGGGAAGCTCGTAATGGCCAACATGTTACTGGCGATGGCTGGCTGCAGAGCAGGGACGTGGTGATGTTGCAGGTGGAGAGTGAATTGCAAAGTGAGACTTTTAGGAAGTCCACGGTGGCCGGTGGTGGCCGATGGGCTTGAGCAGATCCGTGCACCGTTCCTGATCGACTTGTCGCAGGGGCAAGTAGGCACTCGACGTCGCTCAAGATGTGCTCGAATCGATGCTTACTACGTGGGACTCGCTCACTTGAGGAGGCGGAAAAGACCGGTCGGACAGCTTCGAGAGTACTGAATTGACAGTACTGGTTGCTGGCTTTTGTCTAGGTGTCCAGAGTTCGTTACAAGAACTTGCAAATGTCAAGTTCCGTTCAGTGTTTTGCCTTGGTGGCGGTGGTGGTTACAACTCATCGGTTACTTGTGTCCTCTGGGCTATCAAAAAGGCCCGATGTGTGCCCAAAGGCATGACAAGCTTCTTCGATGCTATTCCGTGTGGTTTAAATTTTTGCGGAAGCTGCTGTGATACACGGATCAATGATGTCTCGATTTCAATGACAATGCTCCAGCGAATGTCACAGATGACCTGATCTTGCCAGTGTCACGGTTGAGGCTTTTTCACCCGAAAAGACCGCAAAGAGCCAGCCGATGGATGTCTGCATCGTCCTGGCATTGTAGCGGCGCGTTTGCAGAGTGCGATGGACCGTGGCGGGCGTGGGAAGGTCGGCCAGACTTACGAAGTCGTCCACTTACAACTATGCGGTGGCCTGCTGCTGTCTATGGCAAGATCTCTGCCGTTACTGTGTTAGCTGCTTCACATGGAAATGATTGCTGAGCCTCCTGTATCAACGACCGCTCCGGAGATGAAAGGATCGAAGTAGGCGCAAAAGAATTCGGGGAGGCGGGGACTCTTCAGGATAGGTGCAGGAGATGGGCATAAACAGCTGGCACACTCGAGATTCCGTGTCTTTTTCGGGGTTCTTGATTACATCAAAGAGGGTGAGACGACTGAACGACTGTGTCCATCGTGTCCCTTTATGTTGCAGTAAGCCAAAAGAAAAGCAAACGCCGTCTAAAAAGTTCGAGCCATTTCTGCCAGCTACTGCTGACTGACAGCTTAACAATCTCCGAACAACCTGGGTGGGCGCACAAGCTGAAAGATTATTGAGCTTACAACATGTTCAAGGATAGAATTACAGCTCGTTGGTAGGCGAATTATCGAAGAAAGCACCGAATACCGGTATCTTGAGCTCGACCAAGAATGTGTCATCCTACAGAAATTAATAGGCTCCGGATCGTTCTATTTTTGTCTTTGATCGTGCCACAGTCGTAATGAGACGCGACCATTTATTGGCTGAACGCAGGTCGTTGATTGGTCAACGACTGTAAAGACAGAGGGGTGGGTGGGGGGGTACATTAATGTGAGTGGGGGATAGTGGGACCTTTGCTGATCGCACCTGGTCATTCCCATTTCTACAAAAAGGGTATGAGATTTAGCCTAGATGTTTGTTGTATTCATGGTCCTCTTTCATACATGATCATCTACTTGTTCGTATCATCCGTAAAGCAAACTTCCATGCACCCGACAGCTACAATATGCTCAGCGAATACGTATCGCCACGAGGCAGCCACCAGGGTCCAGCAAATGCACTCGCTCAATCAACGTCAATTTAGATATTTTTTGACATGCCGTTGAGCGTCGGCGGTTTCAAAACGGTTTCACACTATTCCGTGTGTTAGTAGATCAAGACATTTACGGAGCAATAGCGCAACGCATCACCTGGACTGTGCACCATTATGAGTAGCTGTAATGGTGTTTCAGGTACAAATGGATCGGTTTCTTCAATGCTTGACGTGAGTGCTACCTTGATGCATGATCGTTGCGAGTATCGGTACAATACCATACGGATATTGATGGTGTGTGCGAGGTGGATAACCTGCCGGTGGGTAATGAACACAAGCCAGAGAATGACAAGGACTTCATCTTCATGATTTGCAGAGTGTTCAGGTCCAGATTAAACATGTTTGGGTACATTTCTTGTACTATGACTTTGATTGCAATGTTACAGCACATTACATGTCTGTACTGCTTGACGCGGCGGTGCGGGCATGGGTACACACAACTAGTTATCTCCATTAATGTGTAATCGTCCGTTTCTTTGCTCACATGATTGACCAAGACCGGGCTTGAGCTCATCTCGCATATCAAATCGAGATGTTTTGAGCTCGCGTGCATGAGTAGTTGGCTGTGATCAGGTGCAATAAGCACATGTCTCTCTGCCACCTTCGCCTTCCCGTCTATCTATACCATCATCGATCGATAAGCTACCTGCATCCAACCAATCCAATGGTCACGTTTTAAAAGGACTGTGACATAATCTAAAACGACCATGACACGGTCCGAGGCCAAGGGAATAATATCCAAGGACTATCGCACCCTACCAGTTCCATTCATTCGGTTAATTCGCACAAGTTGTCGAACCAACACCAAGTGCCATATGGATGTAGTTATCTGCGTCTTCGAATCTTGCTCAACGCCTCCATTGCAGAAAGGATGCGCAACAATAAGAAAGATGACGGAGATTACACATGCAATGCAATACGCGTACGACAGACATCGGTATGGTTGCCCGCTGAATCGGTATATTGTGCTGGCTGCAATAGAAGTAGCTAGTATTGCTAGTTACCTGTTGTAACGTTTCTACTTAGGGTCTGCATGACTGAACATGTATTTATGCTGTTCGTCGTCATTGGAGGCATTTGGCATTATCGCCTGGGTTGTCGTGCTCGATGTCAAACTTTTCGTAATCTCCTGCAAGCTCGAGGCGAGGGCTCGTCATTTGCGCTAAATGGAGGATTATAAGCGTCAAAGTTGGTGGCAGGAAATGACATGCTAATGCATAGAATCTCATCCAATGGTGGCCGTCGTCTTAGGATGGGTAGTGTAAAGCGGTCATCTTATCGAGAGGAAGAGGCTGATCCTCGTTGTCGCTTGATCCAGCTACTAGGTTGACATCATAACGAACTGGAAACAAGTTGTTGACGGCATGGGTCAGGCCAAACCCGTCCTTCCCTCACCCTGACACATCGTAAAGGTAAATCATCCGTGCGGTCAGGTGTCGTTATATGAAGCACCCAGAAAGAACCTCCGTTCACACTTGAAGGTGGTACTGAAGTCCCAGAAAGCGCTTCTCCATTCTTACCTATAGGTTGGTCGCCTCCATTACGTATGACGAAGCAAACTTTCTTAGTCTTTCGACAGATTTGAAAATGCCTGGTCTTTGTGGATTGCGATGATACACAAGCCCACCATCGATTGCCTCTCTCTGATGTGGCTTGTAGAGATGATGCTGTGAATCTGCAATTTACTAGCTTTGTTTGCCACGTACACGATGTGTGGACGACTGCAAGAAGTAGGCAGTGGCTTTCCTGAACAGACTTGCATTTCCCCCTCGGCAATGTGGATGGCGCGGCTGTGTATGCGCGCGATTCCTCTTTTTGTCGTCTATGTGCTACTACTAGATCCCTTGTGTCCTTGCTGCACATGCGCGTGCTTAGAAAAGACGCATAGGCCAATGGCCGATCTTGTAAATATACCATGGACGACACATTGATAGTGGCAATCTTAGCAAGGAGCACAATGAAAATCGATGCAGTTTAGATCGCCGATATACGTAAAACTGTACAATACAACTCTAGCTAATGCTTATGGGAAGTTTGCGTAGTGTGGGACGCGTCGACACAAACTGCGAGAAAGGTGCTGCTACCCATATCGTGATTCTCGGTGTCGTGAGGATACTGACAAAATTTGTAGCATTCGTGTCTCCATTCTCAGGATCAAATTAGGTGCTGTTGATGGGGTAGTGGCTCAGATAGTCGTCCCTGTACACTGACCTAAAGACCTAGCTATACCTGTTCGACAAAGAGTGAAGCAGCAATGCAGGACAGTAAGATACGCCTGCCTTTTAAAACGTCACAGATCTAGAAATAACAGATGTGTGCAAGGTGTGTGATCATCACATGGACATGAGTTTATTTTTGTAATTTCGAAAAGGATAAACTAGACTTGTCATCTTTGACACATCTTTCTAGGAAGCGACATCAGAGATGTTCACACAAAAGTGGTGATTTGACACCAAAAAGACTGCAATATGTTTTCCTGACAAATCCCTTCATTACCCGAAACCAATAGCGGTGATCATGCGGGACCAAACTGCAAACAATAGCTTTGTCCATGATAAGATTACAGGATGATCAAACATAAGCTAGGATGATCGAACACAGCTAGGATCAAATGTCGGCTTCAATTAAGCCGCCATTCGCGTCGTATCACTGGGAAGGCTTTGCGAGACTCGGGATAACGCAGCATCTTGACAGTATGGTGGATCATTGAACTTGTGCGTGTCCGACCGTTGAAACGCGTCTGTATCCTCTATCTTAGCTTGCACGTGCTGGTACGCGTCACAAAGGTATGGTTTGCACCGAACATCAAGTTACAAGACTTGCTTCACTAAAGGTGGCGGACCGCCACCACGATATTGTCATGCGGCCACCTTCACCTTACAAGAGGTGGTGGCTTGGGAGGCAAAACGAGTGAATGTTGGTGGGCGTCTACCCCCTTACACTAAGTTGTATGAAAAGCCAGCGAGTTCAAATTCGATCATGTCGAGACCACGCAAGCAATGAGAAAAGTAAGCGTTCTCATGTCGGTAGAACGCACAGTATTGACTTATCACTACTGAAGCGGCAGGCATAAGTGGCACATTATACTCATACAAACGAGACGTAGTACTGCTGCCTCCATCTTGTTCGATGATGATTGTTTTCGCAAAAGATGACGCCGTTCCGTCTTGGCTCGGAGGTGTTGCCGCAATTATTCACATTCTATTGCGAAAATTGCAGTTAACCAATCACACAATTTTGGTTGGCGAGTCGTCGAGGAACGGTAGCAGGGCGAGTCTCGCAGTATTATTACCACCTAGCGTGTGACCTCGAGATTCAATCTCCGTCTGTACCTCCAGTTCTGTCCATGTCAATGCAGGAGCAGCAGAAACCTCCGTTGTTTCATGACATTCCCAAGAGCGCTTGTACGTTCGTTGTTCGTACTCTCAGCGCCACCTGCGTGTTTGATGGACTGTACTAAATGGCTACTTACTGGCTGGTTGCCGTGAAAATGTGTCAGTGTTTTCTAGACTCGAAGCGTTTCTGCCCGTGATGGCAGAAGAAAACAAGAAACTGAGCGAGAAAGTAGCAGCAGGTGAAGGTGCAGAACACAACATTGAAGTGGAAGAAGCCGACGAGGCGAGCGACGTCGACACGGACGATGGGGTGGCGGAAGACGATGCAAAGGAGGAGAAGAAGGAGAATGGCGAAGCTCCAGTGATTGAAATGGTGCGTTGTCAATAGCGTCTGCAACAAGTACGGTCAGTGGGTTCTTCTGACGTGCAATCCGGGTGGCTGCTACGTTGGCGCTGTTGCTGCTATTGCTATTGCAACAGAACTTTGCATTAGGTATGATGGACGAGCACGACAGCGACAGCGAGGACACGGACGCTGTCGGCTCAAAAGCAGCGGTCGAGGACGAAATCGTAGCTTGCACAACTGGCCTTGCATCAGTTACAGCACGACAGGAAAGCGAGACGTCGTTCCAGATGCAGCACGAGAAACCGAGCACGAAGCCGCGTCCTGTGATCCAGGAGCTCAATTGATGGCTCAATAGTGACTGGTTCGGGGCATTTCCAGAACAGGGTACAGGGAGAGCAAAAGTCGAGTCTGGTTTTGTGCTCCCCGTGAGTTATCCGTGTCAAGCTTGTAATCGCACTCGCATGTATCGTTTTGTATGTGGAGCCAGTCAGTCCGTGGCGCTCTCGCCGTCGCGGTCCTTAGTCTCGATTCCGCCGCCCAGCAGCATGTTCTACCAGCTCTCGCAGAAGCTCTCCAAGGGCAGCATGATGGCCATCACCATCCCGACGATCATCGCTGCGTCGTACTCTGCCTTCGCCTTCTTCCGCTACACTGGTACGCGCCCACCCAGCCGCTCGCAGCGTCCTCTCTGGCTCTTTGCCGTCGCTAATGGGGCGTCTCTCTCTTGACAGGTCCGGACCTCGGCGGTGCGCTGCCTGGCTCGCCCAAGACCACATCAGCTGAGTGGCAAGCGGCTTCTGTAGAGTACGGCAAGGCGCAGAAGGCCAATCCCATCCGCCACTTCAAGGACTAAGTACCGCCGCAGCAGCAGCAGCACACTGGAAGCAGTCGAGTGGAGTCGTGTCGCGCGAGTCTCGCTGCTCAGACGTCTCTGGGCCGAGCTGTCTAGCTGTCTACTTGCTGGGCGACTGTCGTCCTGCAGGGGACGTGCGTGGAGGGGGGGGGCGACAGAGTGAATGGTCTGCGAGCCAAATCGACGCTTTTGCTCGTCAGGAGCGCTCGTCAATAAACGAACAACAACAATCGACACGTGTTGTCTCCGAGCGCAGACGTCTCAACTTGTGTTCTGTTCGCGTCTTTCGACACTCCTGCACTACATGGCACGACTGCTATGCCCAGTGAGTCTCGTGCAGCTGAGTCCATCGTAGCCGACGAGCAGCAGCACTACTCCCTCCTCTGCATCGTCGTCATATCGACCGTTCTTGCCTCGTCTCGCTTCACGCAGCTCGTATCCCCTGCAAGCACCAATCCACGCATGCTCAGTAAGCAGACCTTCGACCACATCACGCACGATGAGCACGCACCAATCCCGCAACCTGCGCCTTCCGCTTCGCTTCGGCAGCGTCCCAGTCCGCCATGACCCGCTTACGTAGCCGACTTTCCGCTTCCTCCTCCTCTTTGAGCTGCTGCTCGTCCTCGTCATCACGAAAGCCATAGTAGTCGGGGCCAATGTTCTTGTACATGTCTTGGCGCGCACGTTTGCGCGGTCCACGCTCCTCTTTCTGGAAAAGCTCGCGCACGCCAGGCAAATTCTTCGCCGCACCAAAGTACCGGTAGCCTCGCGCTCCCCTGACAGCTGCCCCGTCACCATCGTAGGCTTGCGGCTGCGTGCGCGCATAGTCCGATCCACCGAGCTGCACGATCCGGCGTTCCCAATGCCGCTTCTCCCGGATGCGCTTGTTGATCTCGTCGTTCAAGTCCCGGATCACGTGCTCGCTCGAGCCAGCTGAGGCAAGTGGCACCCACCCACCCACAGAGCCGCGTCAGCTCCAGCAGCAAAGAAGCAGCAGCAAAAAGAGACGTGCACCGCCACAACGTACCGTTCTGGATATCGGCCACTTTCTTGGAGATCTCACGGACGATCTGCCGTCGCCAGCGCTCGGCGTCGTTCAGATTATCGCATTGAGACGCGAGATATGGGCGTCGACTACAGGGAACGACAACGTCAGACGGCAGTTCACAGCACGAGACAGCAACGAATTCGTGCACGTCAGTCCTAGCGTCGCCTCGCTCACTTGCTCTTTGAACGTGTCGGCAAAGTCCTGCTTCATGCTCGTCCATCGGTTCAGCAGCGACTGCGCCTTCTCCTCATTGCGCGCCATGGTGTCGGTTCGCTACTGCTGCGGACCATCTGGTAAAGCAGCAGTTGTCACTTGAATGTTGCACACGATGTGGTCCCCACCACGTCGCCCATCCTTCGAGCAACATCCACACCCCGCCGCCGTGCCGTCCTCAATCTTAGAGTCGCGGACGTGATGACGCGACTGTGGACCGCGTGGTTGCGACGACGAGGGGCGCGACTCGCGTCCACGCAGTCGCAGCTGTCCCCAGTCCCTTCCTACGACCTCGTGGTCATCGGCAGCGGTCCGTCCGCCACGCAGTGCGCGCTCGACTCGGCCAAACAGGGCAAGCGCGTGGCCATCGTGGACAAGAAGACGCGGCTGGGCGGCGTGTGCGTGCACACGGGCACGATCCCGTCCAAGACGTTCCGCGAGGCGGTGCTGCACCTCTCTGGCTACCGCCACCACGGCTTCTACGGCAAGTCGTACAGCATGAAGACCGTGACGATCGAAGACATTTTGTACCGCGTGCAGCGCGTCGTGAGCTCGGAAGCGGACGTCGTGCGGGCGCAGCTCCAGGCCGCGCGGGTGGACGTCATCCCCGGCTTTGCACGCTTTGAGAGCGCGCACGAGATCTCGATCGTGAAAGAGGGCGCAGTCGAGGACGAGACAGCGACGGGGCAGTGCAGTTACAATGGGGATGCTCGCGCTCGAGTCCGGGCTGACAAGTTCCTTGTCGCCTGTGGCACGCGACCTGCTCACAATCCGCTCGTGCCGATTGACGGCAAGATCGTGATTGACAGTGACCAGATCTTGAAGCGTGGCATGCAGCAGCTGCCGCGCTCGCTCATTGTGGTGGGCGCTGGCGTCATTGGCATGGAGTACGCGTCGATGATCAACGTGGTGCCGGGCCACTCGGTTACGGTTGTCGATGCACGACCAGATGTGAGCTGCAGGACGTGAGTCAGAGAAGACGGGGCGAGGGCTGACCATCTTGGTGTCCATTGTTTTTATGTGCAGATTCTGTCGTTCTGTGATCGTGAAATCATCAGCAACCTCACGTACGACATGCAAAGCAATGGGGCTCGCTTCCTGCTTGGCGAAACCATCAAGAGTGTCGAGGTGATTGGGGTGATTGACTTGCAACAGTCTAGACGGTGTTTTTGTGTGCTTACTTGTGGACGTTGGGTGCTGTTGCTGCTGATAGACGACGGAAAAGCGAGTCAAGGTTTTCTTCAATAGTGGAAAGGTGCTCAGTGCCGATGCGCTGCTGTACACGGTGGGACGCCAAGCGAGCACGGACGGACTAAATCTGGAAGCGGTGGGGCTCTCGCGTAATCATCGCGGTCTTATCAATGTGAACAAGAACTACCAGACCGACCAACCCCACATGTAAGATCACCGAACATGTGTGTTCTCTTGAGTGATGCATATTACTCACATGATTGTGCCGCATGACTTCAGCTATGCCGCAGGTGATTGCATCGGTGCGCCAGCGCTCGCATCCACGAGTATGGAACAGGGTCGCCTGGCGTCGTGCCACATGTGGGAAGTAGACGAGGAGCACGCGGGAACAAGCCAGTTAGAGAATGGCAATTATCCGTACGGTATCTACACGATCCCGGAGATCTCGATGGTGGGTCAAACCGAGCAGCAGCTTACGAAGGATTGCGTGAACTACGAAATTGGGATTGCGAAGTATTCAGAGCTGGCCAAGGGCCAGATGATGGGCGCAATGGCGGGCGGGACTCTGAAGATATTGTTCGACCCTGACACTCTCAAGGTACTTGGCGTGCATGCCATTGGAGAGGGTGCGACGGAGATTATCCACATCGGACAGGTTGCAATGGCCATGGGTTGTTCATTGACGTATTTCCGCGATGCTGTGTTCAACTATCCGACACTTGCCGAGGCCTACCGCGTTGCCGCTTTGAACGGACTGGGTCGACGTAGTCGCGACATTGAAGAGTCCTAACCGCAACTTAACATGACGGTGGAGATGACTTTTGTTTCGGCTGCTAGTGCATGGTGTTGGTACATAGAGACTGTTCGCACGAAAGGCTCGGTGGGGGGTGACTGCTTTGTTGGCCATTGAACTGGAATCGTCGTAGTGACAGACAGCTAAAGGAAGCATCGCTCACCATCGAGTTAACTGTCGTTCCAGTCAATTGATTTATGGTGAGAGACTAAATTTTAGACCGTCGTTTTGGCTGCTGAATGAAAAACAATCCACGTCGTATCCGTCCGCAGGAACCACATGGTCGAATTGAGACAATCGCTCGCGTTTGCAGTTCAAGGCGATTCATACTGAGGAATTCTTGGAACTTTCATCCAAGTGTCCTCAAACACGACGGTTCGTTCTGTAAGGAGCAAAAAAGCTGCTTTTTACAGTTGGCCATCAATAAAAAACCGGTTTCTGTGCCTCCCACTCCGGTAAATTACGAGCACAGCCGTCCGAAGCCTCGACCTGCTTCATTCATCCCAGTAAAACCCAAGTGCCGCTTCCAGTGTCGACGTTCTCCGTCCAGCTCCTTGACCACCGATCAGGCGCTTCACTCCATAGACAGAGAGAGAGAGAGAGAGAGACGGACGCAGCACGTAATGGAATCCGAACTCACTGCGCAGCGCGACGCAGCGATCGCCGTGGCCAAAGAGCTCCAGCGACAGCAGCAGAAGCATCAAGCGGAGATGGAGAGACGCTTTGAGCGGCGCACGCTCCACGCCGAGCGGCTGCGACTCCACGCCGAGGAGACATGTCGCCGCGCAATTGAAGACCGCGACTGGCGCGAGAGCTGCTGCCACCGATTGCTGACGCTGACGCTGTTCTTGGGCTGTGGCGGCGCGGTCGTGGGCTGGGTGATGGGTCTTTTGCTGCTCGTGGTTGTGGGTGAACCGCTCGTGGGTTTTTTGCTCGTGCTTCCTGGGATGGCAGCAGGGACGTTAGTGGGACTGACTGTAGCCAAGACGAAGATGGAGCTGCAGAGCAGACGTCAAGACGCTAAGACAAGAGCGACTCGACGCCATTTGGAGGTGGAACTGGCGGTGTCGACGGGACTGGGGGACCACGACGCGCCGCTCGAGCCGCTCGAGGACGTTACCGGATTGCAGGACGTGGCAGAAGAGACTGCGAGACTAGAGCTGTTGCGAGACGAGAGACGAGGGGCAGCAGAGGAGGGACACGCATCGGCGTCCAAGTACGGATCACTGCTGAGCTGGGGCTGGAAGGCGGCGTGGTACACGCTGCAGACGTCCAAGAACATTGCGGTCGGGCTGTATTACGGCGGCAGTCATGCGCGAGGGCTGTTGCTCCCGGCTGAAAGCAAGGAAAAGCACGCGTAGAGCACTGGGAGGCCGATGTACTGTCGGATCCAGCAGCGTTTCTCTCGCGAGCGCCTGTTGTGTCGTGATGGACTACGCACGCACGCAGTGACCAAGTAGCCCACACTCGCGGTCTTGTTGTCACGGAAGGCACCTGTCGGCACGCGGCCGTTATGAGCAGCACCAGCAAGCGAAGAAACGTGGGATCTATTGTGTCGCTGGCGTCGTGCCCTGTCCTGCTACCGATCTGGAGAAACGCTGCAGCATTGCAACGCACAACGAGATACGACATCGAGCGCGAGGAGCCATTTTCTAGCAGTGGTCGCACAGGCGCGTACTATTGAGTCGCGTCTTTCGTAGTGGACATTGCAACGAAGGATTCTCGTCTGCGCTTCAGGTTGTCGTCAAAAGTGTCGCACGTAACCCATCATCGATCCGAGGATTAGTCGACGATCACACAACGGCCCACGTCGTTCAGTTGCGTCGGGCGCCACTGCAAATCGAAAAAATCACGTACGTCGCTAGGTTCAATCGGCCCTTCTCGAAGGCTGCCGCGATCGGACGATCGCATTCGACTGAAGGGGTCTCCACGCAGTGCTCATGGCCACTCGTTTGTAGGTCTCTTTCGGTTCAATTGCCTTGACGGGCGCTGATCAAATGGAGCTGCTCGAACGGCTGCTGAGTTTCAGTAGTGCTAATGGCTACGTCCTTGCCCGCCATATGGAAGCTCTCGTCGAAACACGTCACGCGTGTTGATCCGACGTTGTCCAGCTGTCCCGAGCAGCAGATGGCGGTGGAAGAGCCTTGATGACGGTTTGCAAAACGGACGTGAAGTAGCAATGCACCAGCCACTGACAGCAGAGCCAAGTCCGTGCCACTCGAGTTGATCAAAAATAGGTTATATGTTACACCAGTATATCTAGACTCCGTCCTGTCGTCTCCTACCAGACCGATCAGGACTAGACCTCCTCTCTCTCGCTGCTGTCTTGCTGCTGTCTTGCTCTCTTCTGCACAAACTTGTCTGCTCGAGCAAGGTGAATCATACATTCGCGAGTGTGTCTCTCTGTGTCAACGCCGCGCAACTTACACGGTCAAATCACTGACACCCAGAGGACTGGTCTCCTTGAGTACCCCGTGCTTGGTGTCGTTGCTCGCATAGCCACTAGCACCCGCATCTGAAAAGTCGGACGAGATGTCGAAAGGCACGAGACTGAACTCGATCGCAGTCACGACATTATCGTCGTCCGTGAGTGCGGACGCAATGAGCGTGAGCGTCGAGATGTTGTTCCCCATCCCCTGCGCCTGCACAATGGCACTAACGGGTTTCATGTTGTTGCTGACTGACTGCATGACTGCGTCCAGCTTGCCATTGTCGAGACAGAGACTCGCACGCAGCGTGTTCGTGTCCATCAGGTTTTCCTCCATGAGACCAGCTTGTGACATGAAAGCCGAGTTGACCGCCACGAGGTGCAGGTGGAGATCCACCACGACGCGAGGCGTCGACGACTGCTCGAAGCAGCGCCTGAACACACTCTCCATTGGCCCGCCGCCACCTTGCATCTGCGAGCGAAAGTTGCCCGCCTGCTTCTCGGCACGCTCAGCCTTCTGCTTGGCAATGAGGAGGTTACTGCGGAGCATGCTGACGTAGTGGAACGTGTTGTCCAGAATCGACTGCTTGTTCTTCTTGGACTGCACGCCAGCCTCGTCCAGCACGGACTTGAGCTGGTTGATGCGGTCGTTCAGCTTGAACATGCGCTTCTTCTCCTTCATATTGAGCTCCTCGCGCGAGCGCTTGGAGCCAGAGAGAGAGGGCGTCGTGCCGCCCACAGAGCCGCCCGAGTTGTAGTCGGTGGACACGTGCAGCATCTGCGCAGTCATGGGCGGCGGCGCGTAGTACTGGCCCGGGTGCTGCAGGTTCATCATAATGGGCTCGTGGTCAAAGTCGCTCTGGTGCTGCGGCGTCTGCTGCTGCTGGTGCTGCTGGAGGTGATTGAGCTGCGGCTGCGTCGCTTGCATGTGATGATGCTGCGGCGTCATGTTGCTCGAGTGCACGAGCTGGTGGAAGTCGTGCATGCCGGGGCCGTGGTAGCCGCCTCCATTGCTGCCGCCGCTGTTGACGCTGTCCATGGACGTGCTAAAGAGCTTGGGGCGCTCGTTGCTGTGGTGGTGCGACTGCGGCGGCAACGGCTGGTGAAGCTGTTGCTGCTGCTGCGACTGTTGCGACTGCTGCTGCTGCTGCGGCTGGTAGTGCGAGTAGCTGTAGTCGTTCTGCAACATGTTGGAGTGAGTGCGTGAGTGAGTGGGTCGAGCGGAGTCCCGTCTGGACGAAGTGGGACCGAGTGAGTGGGACGCGGCCAAATGGGAAATGACAATCTGGTGGGCAGCAGATGGTGGGGCCGCAGGACGGAGGGGGCGATCGGGTTGGCCCGACGTATCGGGTTAGACAGGGATCGACTCGCCCGCGTCGCGGCTGTCTTATCGCGAAGCTGCTTCTTTACCGACAAGAAAACAACGAGCCAAGCACATTGCGTGTCGTGGGGGGGAGGATTAGGGCCTCGGGCGGGGGATGGAAGAGTCGTCACGAGAGATTGCAAAGCCGAGGCAGCTGCTGGGTGATTGATTGATTGCCTCGGGCTACTAACTACTGGACAGCACGCAAACACACGGCAGCTGGACAGCAGCACGTGGTAGTCGTGCTAATCATGGAGCGCACAAGAGAAGGGAGGAGTGTTGACGTTGGCTTCGACTCGGCTTTGGCTTATCTGCGCTATGTTTAGCAGGGAGCCGATCTCAATTGAAACAATCCATCACGCCATTTCTTTCGGCTTGGCTGCTGCTTCCTCTTCGCTTTGACCTTCATCGACTATGCACGAGGACAGTCATAAGGTTCTTTGTCGTGGAAGATCTTCCGTGCTTTGCAACGAGCTTTTTTTACAATTGTTCTTAACCCAAGTCGTCGAGAGACAAAACACGTGCTGCCTCGACTTGTCGGACTTGACTTCGCCGCGACACTTCTGGCTTCTTACCGAACGATATGGCAGACTAGCTAGGAGAAGTACTTGATCAAGAGCAGAAGAGCAACCAGAAGAGGATAAATGTCTGTAAAAGTTCGTTCGGTAGAAGCTCTTGCGAGTGAAGAGCGAGCGGCAGTGCGCAAACCGTGTTGAGGATCCGGCCGACGTCAGTGCCGTATTCGCAAGGCCGTCTTGTACGGCTAGTACATGCTACCTGGCCTGCAAAGACCTGCCATACACTCTACATTGGCTTCTTTACAAACAGAGAAGGTTTTGGCTGGAGAATTAGACGTATTTTATCGATCAGTGACTTCTTCACGATATGTCGCGATTGCTCGTTCTATCGTGCTCAGCCATTGTCCGAGAAAACCTATTTCGCAACATTCTTCTTGGCTCGTCGAGTCAGCCACGCGATGGAGGGAGATACCACAACGTGTGGCGTCACAGCACAAATTCGACACCGTCTTGCTATGATTGTCGTAACGGTACGATATAGAAGCGGTTGACGCTGCTGGAAGCGTTTCACCGGCATTCAGCAGCACGTCTTAGCGGCAATATATCTGAAAGAGACGCTGGCGTTGCTAAGTTTAGACGGCATTAGCAAACCTGCTATAGCGCGTAGAACGATTAAACGATCAGTACATGTGCAAGATGGATACTTTGTGCTCGTCGTCCGCGATCGCACGATGGTACTGCATGTGCCGCCGTGTCTGCGTGACACTGTGTTTGTGTATCATGTTTTCTTCATGCATATCTACGCTAGTCATGTCCAGCTCTTGCCACGACGTCCCACTGGTTTACTTTGACGGTAAGAAGCTAAATATACGTCGTGAGCCACCGCCACACACGCCAACGTTACGCGCGTGCTCCTTGTTGCTATTGACCACCGACACAAGAGCTCTTTGATCTCATTAGCATCTGCTTTCGTCGAACGGCTGTTTGCGCTCTTCCGCATAGATCAACTCGGGTGACCGCTTGTCACTTCCAGGAGCGTCTACAGAGAGCAGCCTGACGGGCAAAACAGGAGGTCGAGAGATGCTCGACATCATCCGCCAGACGATTGTCAAACACCCGAAGGAAGTAACTTCATTGACGTGCGAGTCTTGAGGAAATTTAGAGCTGCAGAGGCCTTTCCTGATCGCGGTAGCGAGTGTGAGAGTGAGCAAGTTTGCGGATAGTAATTCTCGACCTGACCGAACGCGTTTCGAATTGTCACGCTATTGACTCGGCGGACGGCGTTCTAAGGGTTACCATTGTACTGCATCGTGTGGTGCTGATGCAGTTCTAGATCTGGAATTGCAGTGGTCGGCAGGCGCCACAGCAGTTCGAGTGGTTCAAACATCGACGTCTTTTTGTCAAGGCTGGCTGGATCTGACCGGTCGATCTCGCTGAAGACGCTCACCCATCCTGATCGTCTCGTTGTCCTAGCAGTTAGGATATTGTTTCACTGGGGGTGTCTTATCTCCTCTCGACTACTCAAAGGATGCGAGCAGGCCATACATGTTGTCAACGGCTAACTGTCAACGCTACGACGCTAAAGACTTGTATCAGCAGCTGGTTGACTTCAACGCGAACGCTCCGTCTGCACGCAACAGCGCTCTGTCGGATGCAGAACGTTACTTCACGATCTGTCAGATGGATTATGTTTTCTTGTTCAGATATGCAAAAAAGAACGTGAGCTGATGACCAGGCTTGATGTCAATCATGGCTAGCCCTGCATTCGTTCTGCTGTGGGAGAAAGTCCTCGTCAAAGTGCTGTACTTGTCCATAAGAGCTGGCGTCGTACGCCTGACGAAGAGGGTGAGCTAAAATGCGATGTACCTTGGGCAGGAACGTATCGGTAGGCGCTTGTTAAATGCCGATGCACAGCGGACCGAAGTGCCTGATCATTGCAGCAGCAGCAGTAAACTCGTGCTCCCAACGCGTCAGTGCAAAAAGACGTCCGTGTTCATTATCATAGGCGAATGTGGGAGCGGTCGCAATTATTCCTCGTGTTTGGAAGTGGGTGTGTCGCCGGCTAATCGGTTCAGTGTGCTGCCGTGTCCACGCTTTTCCATCGTCACACGTGACACTAGCGTCGGCGATCCATCCATCAGAGCCAACAGGAGGACACGACTTTGCATGTCCTCACATCATGCTCACCGACGGTGACAAGGAAGGCTTATTGGTCAGGAGAACGGTCCGCCAACATGACAAGGGTTACTTTCCACTTCGCGATCTACTGAAATCGATAATCGACTCTCTGAGACCAAGGCGAGTTCAATTTTGTCTTGACCACCTGGTACCTGCTACCGGTGACGTGTGTGACCTAGCAGCTCACGTCCGGAATGCGTGAAGCTACTTCCTCGCACGATCCTGATGCCGCTTTTTATCGATCAGCCGAAACTCGAACATCGCCTCTGACGAAAAGGCCCCACGTCGCTAAACTCCTTCGCAATATGTGGACTTGGAAGTACGAGTCTTCCGTGTCTCCCGCCTGCAGGTCGGCTGCTCGTCATCTGAATGCTCGTTGATGCAACACTTCGTCTCGATCGGTTTGGACAAACGAAACCTCATTTGTTGGTCCTTCTGCTTCGTTTACGGGATTTCGAAGCTATCGTATTGTGGATACCTTCACTACCTTTACTTGTGATTGTTCACTCGACAGGGATGCGAGCCCAGTCATACGTCGTGGCACCAAAGAGTCATTATGGATTCCATTCACCACGGAAGCATTGCACCGGTGGACGCCTGGTTCCCTTTTTCTCCTCGTCACTTCTAGCCTTGCCTAGCTTCTGAATGTCGAAACTCACGGGATCGGACTGCTTGCGAGAATTACAGGCGACATAATCTGAATGGCAGCTGTAGTGCAGGCACATTGGCATCGAGCGCTGGACCATCTAGCTTTAGCCGTCGATTTAGATAAACACGCGCTGCCTGAGAGACACTGTGGTTGCTGGTTAAGCTCGTGGCTTTCGATGTACGCATTTGTTTTGTCATCTAGTAAAATGGCCAATGCTCACGAATCTGCTGCTTTGCGTATTGCGAACCCGGAGGGTAAAGCTATCAGTGACTGTGCGCAAGGTGAATGCCGAATGTTCTAAATCGTACTTATCTGTCCGTCTGTGTGTGTGTCAGCAAACAACGCTGCGCACCTTACACGTCGCATTAAGTGCGATTTAGTCTTGCACAGTCTTTGCGTGTTACTTACGCCCGATGTATCTTACACAAGTGCGATCTTGTCCGTCAATTGTTGCGCCTGTGAGTAACGCTAGCAGTGGTTGGTACCTTTCAAGTCGTACAAAGTGCGATGTAGCCATCTTGCATCTGTCTGCAAAATTAACGCTCGGTGTATCTTAAATGTCATCTTAAGTGCGATGCAGCAATATTTTTCCCTCATCGTTGAAACGCAATATGCGAGCCTGAAGGGTGAAGCTAAGGCTCCGACCCATGGACATTGGTCCGGGCAGACCCCGAACATGGACCCGGACCAGTTGGTCCAGGGCGATCGATTGGATCGCCCTGGTGCAAAACACTCGTGCATACCACATACCAAATGTACAAGTGCTAAACGTGTTTTGGATTAAGTGGGCAAGTCACGCGTACTTTCAAATATGCACTATAATCGATTTGCATAGTATATGTGGTTGACGCCTATACATGTGCATCTGTAATAGGCAATTTCCTTCTGCCACGACTCTGCTCATTATGCACTGTTTTTGTTTTGGATCTTGCCTATTCCACATGTCATCGGGCACATTTCATTGTACGTTTATATTTTATAGACGCATGTACATTTTCAATCATTATGGTTACAAGCTTGTATAATAATCGACCGTGTTTAACTAGCGTTGCTCATGTGTGTTGTAGAGTTGAGCTCTCTTTAAAAAGCTGATCGCATATATCCCAAGTGTCATCGTTCATGTCGCTACAGAATTTAATTTCGTCTGAGGATTTATCACTGTTGCACGCTTGTAAACGTACTGCCTATAATGCTCTATCCTTGTACGCTTGCAATTTCTTCACCATGGCTTAGATCGATAATTCAAGAAATGTACCTGCATATGAGTGAAGAGCTCCTTGAATACTTTTCAGCAGTATGACATATACAGGTGCAGCTGCCGTTATAGATGGATATTTTGAAGATGAAAAAAGCATGGTAGCCCACAAAAATCAACAATATTAAATTTGACCTGTTCCAATTCATAAATCTCTACTAAATACTTCAAATGCCTCTTCTAATGGTTCGAGCAGCTTAATAACTTCTTGCACAAGAGCCCGTTCCTGCTTGATGACTCACACATATCTAAAGCTCTACGACGTTGTCTACATAAGCTACAATGTCTGTGAGAAGCGAAACTGTACGCTTTAACATTGCCAAAGTAGAATTTCAACTCGTGGTCACATCTTGTATTATCTTCTTGGCTCTGACATCCGATGCTACCAAACAGGCAAGCATTTAAAAATTTTGCAGTCGCTGCGGCGAACCGTTGACAGGTTCTGTCAAGTTCCGAACTCTCCATACGACTGTACCCACTGCTTAAACAATAAAAATTTGACAATTTAGATCATGGACAAAAATGAGCACATACATTCATTAAAATGTAACCGTTTCAGTTTCTCCACCTTGGTCTGCAAGTATCACATCTGTGGACATTAACATGGTATTTTCTTGATTGTTTTGAGTCAAGTGGTGATAAAATGTTCCAAGTAGCTTTATACCAGCATTATCTATCAGGTTTTATACAGGAACCATACATAGAAGCATGTTGTCGCTTTTTGAGAATTCAGGAATGATACACTGTTGCTCCAGACACGTTGCAATTGTGTCATTCGTTAAAGCATGGTCGCTGGTGATACAAACTACCTTAAAATAAATGTAAAACTTCTTTTATACATCGAACAGATGCTGCTATAAATTCTTTCCGCTGTGGTCTCCTTCCATCCTAACTGCAGCAGCCACCGGATCCTAGAGATTTCCATTGCCATCAATCCAATCAGCTGTCACTCCTATTACGGAACGTTATTTTGGAGAATATCAGCACTTAAAACTGATATTCACTTTGGCGTTCAGGCGATTGAAACACATTTCTCAGCTGTTTAAAACTTGCAAATAGCGACGTTAGCAATATGTTTGGCCGCAGAATTATAGCGTACATTTGCCATAGTAAACGTTTTCAGAACATCATGCCTAATCGTATCTGCAGATTTCAATAAAGAGCTCATCGCAGGAATGCAAAGCTCGAGAAGATAACGCAGTTGCCTATATTCTAAAAGCTGATAAAGCAACAAATGCTCTAAAATAAGTTTGGGCAAAGCCTTCTTCAATATCTGCCTGTTTAGCTGAGGTTACTGTAATATGTTATCATCTTGATACCATATTAAGCTCAAAACAGTAACAAATTACGATGCACGCATCTTCAAATTGCCTAAAACAATTATATGCATGCATTGCACCTTGTTCCAGGTAGCTTATCATGTATCTGATGTTTGCTCATCAGAAACTTGGCCAAACATTTGGTACTACTCGTAGCTGTACGTACATACGCAGCTCCGCAAATTGATGATCCACCACGAAGCTTTGGGACCTGACAAACGGCTATAACTTCTTCTCTTAGCCTTACAAAGTACGTCCGAAATTGGCTCGCCTTCTTGCCGACATTGATACTGGCATCATCCTCAGTTTGCTTTAAACGTTGTCGGCGAAGGCTACCGACGATTCAGTTTCTGGTTGCATCGGTTCTGTTTCCATCTTTTATAAAAAGATTTCTATAAATTGGCTAAGTATATAAAATACAGAAAATACTGACCAGTTATCACGAGAGACCGACACATCTCTCCCAGTCAGTACAACGGATGCTAGAATTGGGACAAAGAGCTCGATACAACACTCCAACTAGTTATAAAAATGTGCTATTTGGGTTGGTTGCAATGGTAAATATTAGGAAAAAAGAAAAGAGACCAACGGGTTACTGGTCCGGATCCAACCTCGACCCGGGACCTGGACCAGCCAATTTAATACCGGGTTGGCTTACAAAAATTTAACTTGTTGGAGCCCTAGGTGAAGATACTAATTAGTGAGCGCACGATATGTGAATATACATGCATAGCTTAATTTAGCTCTATGAACTCAAACATACACATCAAAGGGCGAGCTCCAGATCCTGATTTTATATCGTAAACATCTATTGAGTGCAGCAAATCCCATTTGTTGATGATGGCCACCTCTGGTCTAGAACGAACGTTCGACGCAGCAAAAGTGAACCGCACTTCACGACAGCCCAAGTCCACAATCGCATCATTATTGCTTCCCCCTTTCTCCGCTCAATTCTTGAATGTAAAATTTTGCACTGCGCATACCTCATGCTGAACACGTCAATTGTAAAGATTCAGCTCATGCGAAGGTCCACTACATGCCAGCTTGGTTTGTTTGGCCCCTAAAATCTGAAAATTTAGTTCTATTATAGAACATCTTAAGGTTGAGTTCGGCATCTACATGACGACGGTATGTCTTGTCCGATCAGCTAATTCATCTCGCGCATACCAATCGCACCAAAAGCGCACAAGAAGAGTATGACTGTATCCGCATTGCTTTTTTGATGAGGAGCCGGGTCGTCGTTCGAAAGTCTAGTTTCCATTTTATTTTTTGGAAGTGAAATAAGTTGGTAATGTGCTATTGTCGCGTCATGTCTGTTTTAAGCTTTAATCGCTAGCGGAGAATTTCGATCACTAGACATTGACGGCGGGGGTCAAAAGTTGGTTTGGTGAGACACTCTTTTTGTGAAAATTTGTAGTGCCGCAGTATAGACATTCGAGGAATTGAATATGCGTGTGTGCTTGTATTGAATAAAGCCAGTGCGTGCAAAGATAGTTGACGCATGTCGAACCCTATGAAAGCTCATTGAGAGCATATGCCCAATGAAGCAGAAACGCATACGTTGATTCCAAAAATGATGAAGGACCGATATGAGTCGTATATTAAGGGACGCGTACGGCCCTCTTTATCATGTCTCTATCCAGCAAAGATACCTTGGAAACCACTGTTGTACTTACTGGGTATTATAGTTGTCGGACAGCATATCGCCTTCGCGCAGAGTCTTGTCCCTAGGTGAGCAGGTCGCTTAGTGTGAGCAAGAACCCTGTACTTCGTGGGTTTTGGCGTGAGAGGCCTC